AATTTTTGAAATATCTTCATATGAGCTACCTGAGTTAAATAATACCAAGTAATTGGAATTTTCACGATTAATAAGTGGAATTTTATGATATTTCTGTGACATGTAAATTGGACTAATATTTCTATGGCGTCCTTGTATAAAAAACTGGCTAATTCGATTTTGGATATGTTCTGATGCTAAACATACATCCTCAAAAATAATTACTGTACTTCTTTCAGGTGAGAACAAATCTACTCTAGGAATCTTTTCAGGTAAAATATAGGTAAATCTAATATATTCGTAATATGGAGCTCTTGGATCACTTGCAATTAATTTATACATATATCTAACAAATGCTCATTTTGGCTCATTAGGATGATATCCACATACAATTAAATCATCGCAAGAAATATATCTCCTTCCACCTTTTTTTTCTTTATATATGCACTCACCTTTATCACCCAAAACAAGATTTGCAACTAAATTAGTCTTACCTGATCCGCTTCTTCCGCTGACTATCATTTTGAAGGGCCACGTAGGACTAGCTGGATGAGTTTGACAACGAGATGCGATATGCTTATTAGCTTCGTCCATATCCATAAGGAATAGTTTCATTTTTTGCATATTGGTATAAAAATATGTGATTTATCACTAGCTCCGCTATTATAATTGAATCAGAGGTATTATATCTTTATATATATCGTTATTTTTCTTTTTTATTTTTTTCTGTCTAATAAACGTAATCCATATAGTAGCGATAATTAATAAAGCAAGTAAAAGCAAAGCAAACATTGGAGACCCCAATACACTCACCACAGGAATTACTTCCACTGGAATTTGTGATTGCGATTCAATTGGAGAAGGAGAAGGAGAATCAGCTGGAAGGAAAGGTGTCACATTTTTTACCCGTGGTAGCTCTACTATTTCTTGAGGTTGAAATATATTATCCTTATTAGTTTTGCTAACATTAGTTTCAGATGCTTTACCATCCTCACTTCGTGAGTCACTTATCTTGGATTCTTCTATACTTTTTCTATATACAAAATATTGGGCAAGATTATTATGACTCGAAGAGTCACCCTTAAAGGGCCTGCAAAGTAATAGTTGTTCCTCGTTCTGCATATTTTTTTTGTCACCTCCAGTAATCACAGATCTTGGCCGTGCTAACTCCGCTGATATAGTATCTGATTTTAATTGTTCAAGCTAATCAATCTTTGAAGCTAATTTACTCTTTATATGCTCTAGTTCAGCTTTAAGAGACATAATCTCAGAATCTTTTTTTGATGAATTTTCCTGAATCAAAAATGCGTCTTTTTGGGCTAATGCTAACTTACCATCCAATATCTTAATCATAGCCTGGAGTGATTTTATTTCTTTTAATTGGATATCATACCTGGCTTTATACTCATCACG